TGTTTACGCTCGCTTATTTGAACTTTATGTTTTGCTGAGTTTGGAACACTAGCCATCGCCAATCGTTAACAAATGCAATGTTGCTGATTCATGCTGCTGACCACTACACCACCGGCAAATTATCGCTACGCGACCTGACTTTGTTACACCAACCTGTTTCATCAAGCGGAACTGTTTTATAGAAACTTTTCACTGGTGACAACTGTATTCGCAGACGACGCTGCCGATCGGTCTGTTCCGCTGTTTCGCTTGTTCGAACTGCTGCCAAGCAACCACTAAAATATTACGCAAAATATGTGTGGCGAACACTGAGTCCGTGAAAGTGGGAATAAATCGAAGACTGAGTACTTACGAGGAGTGCCACCACTTTTTTTTTACCTCGAGACATTAACTATCGTAACAATTTTTTATGCGTTTTTTTTTTTTTTGCATCTATGCAATGCAGAAAACACATATTGACAAGAGGTTGTCCGTGTATGTGTGTGTGTGTTTGCATGTGCGTCTGTGTCGGTTTTTCATTTCGAGACCTACAAAAGCTACAGCGTTGAAACTTAGGGAACTTAATTTACATGTACGTACGGGCCCCCACTCCTAAAAGTAGCGTTCTTACCCGCGTGGTACTCACGTACGGGCCAGCAAAAGTCTTTGGCGGGCAAGTTGCTAACATGGGAACCAGAAAAGCTGGAAAGCTGGAATTTTAAAGGGATGTTCCCTGTTCACGTAGAACTTAATGATTTCAAATTCAACTCTCAAGTATGCCTGGTTCCCACGTACTTGCCAATGAAAATTTTTTGCAAGTAAGTTGCTAACTGAAAAGCTAGACGACTGGAATTTTAAGAAAATGTTCGCCATCCACGTAGGTCTTTAAGAGTTCAAACCCAGCTCAAGAGTATGCGTGGTTCCTATGTACGGGCCCATGAAAGTTTTTTACGGGTGAGATGCTAACTCGGGAATCTGAAAAGCTAGAAAGCTGGAGTTTTAAGGGGATGTTCCCGGCTATGCACAACTTTATGACTTCAAGCTCTACTTCCAGTTACGCGTGGTTCTAAAGTACGGGCCAATGAAAATTTTTAGCGGATAAGTTGCTAACTCGAGAATCAGGAAAGCTAGAAAGCTAAAATTTTAAGGCGGCGTTTTCTGACATCCCAGGCGGATAGTCTCAGTCCGCTTAGCTAGAAGCATCTGCCGGAAAAACCGATGTCAGCAACGAAAACCGGCGGGGAACTATGCAAACTCAGGCAGGAACGCACCAGGCTCTCCAGTGCGATCATGCGTTTTTGCACTAAACTCACAGATCGCTATTACCAGGAATGATCCCTACGCTGTAGCCTAACACTTGGGCTAATATTGGCCGTGCTTTGATCCTTTCTGGCATGCAGGAGAAAGGGCACCAGTTGGGATGAAGGTGGTGCATTATAGAGCCGCACGGACATCCAGGTGCATGATTACCGGTTTTTTTTTTGCGTGAAGTTCGATCGTTTTTTCGGTAAATGCTCGCTTTGTGAAAAAATGACAAATGTAAATTTTTTGAAAAAAAAATGCAAATTTCCAGTTCACTAAAAAGTGGAATGGGGTTAAAGTCTGAGCTGCGAACAAAT